TAAAATATAAAATTACTTGCATCAGCTAATAAATTCTTTTTTTTAATAAGATCAGGTGAAGTTCTTGTAGCTGAATTTGGTCTATGTTCAGTTAAAGAAAAAGGTTTCTTTTCATTAGTTTCTGGACTTCTAAGCTAATCATCATAACCTAAAGATTTTCTTTTATAATTATCAAAACAAATTTCATCTAATGGTCTAGTTTTTTGACTAGAGTATTATTATTCTTCATATTTATTATAAAATAAACTATCTTTAGTTGGTGTTTAAAATTATCTAAATATAATTATTATTATTTACTTAGACCATGAATCTCTAAGAGGAGAAGAGATATCTGATCTTCCATTTTATTATAATAATACTTTTTCATATTATTATAATTGTCTAAGAAATCCATTATTAGGATAGACTTACCATCTTTTTCTTTCAAGTAATCTTATAGCATCTTATGCACTCATATTGTTTTTTTTCATTAAATAAGCTGCAACAAGAGTAGCTGATCTAGATATTCCAGCCATACAATGAACTAAGACATTTCCTGATTATCTAGCTTTATCAATGAATTAATTAGAATTCTCAAAATGTCTTGCTATATTTTCAGACTCACAATCTTCCAAATAAATGTGTAAATAATGTTATAATGATGTTTACACATCAAAGGGAATCTTATTCATACAAATAGATAGAACTCCCTTAATTTTGTGTCTTTTCAAGTTTTCTAAACTTGCTATTATAGTTGATTAGATTAAATACATGCTGACTCTATGTTTCCTAAATATAAAGATCCCACACTGCCATTTTCTATTATACAACTCATATCATCTAATGGTTATTCAAATTAGTTAGATGCACTTAAGTATTATTTCTGTTTGATTGGTGAAAAGTTGAACATTAATTAACAATAAAAATTATTGCATTTAATGAAAAAATTGAAATAATTGCCACAATAATAATAATCAATGAGACGATCATCGTCTCTTGTAACAGTTCAACCTCAAATAGAAATAATACATTTTGAAAAAAATGCTTCACTTACTCAAAGTACCTTCTTTAAAACATTTACTGAAATGCCCTAAATGTATTAATTTGATTGATATAGGGCTGCATTCACACATTAAGTGTCAAGAATACCATCTCCAAAAGAAAGATTGTAAGTTTAGTTATAACACAATAAAAAATAAAGAGAAACCATTATAAACTAAAGTAGAGAAAGATAAGAAAATGCTATGACTGAAGCTTTATCTCTAACTCAAAAGACAAAATTTAGAAATTATTAAAAACTGAAGCGTAGAGATCAATCACCAAAAAAGGCAATGGAATTAAAACCATAACAAAAAGGTATATATTATTGCAATATAATTAGTGTTCCAGCTTCCTAAATTGGATGCACCCATAGAATAAATCATGGATACTCCTACTCAACTTACTTTCTATTTTGAATCTCAAAGACTCACAAGAGATATAAGAACATTCAAACCATCATTCACAGAACAAGCTGCATTTACATTATTCAATGATTAATTATATTTATATGGAGGAATAGGAGGAGATGGAGTTAGAAATCAAATGCTCAAATATGATATAAGTAATATTAAATATTTATCTACAGAATTCCAGATATGGCAAGTAGTATAAGGAAATGGAGATCATCCTAAATAAGGAAGAGCAGGTTTATCAGTGGTTCAATATAAAAATAAATTTATCTACTTTGGTGGATGTGGACAATTCAATCCTAAACTAAAACTTAGAGAATGCACTAATTCTATTTATGAATATACTGTAAGTACTATGACTTGGGAAAAGATTCATCCTTAAGGTGATTATATAGAACCTAGAAGATAACATAGAGCATGTTTAGTTGGTTCAAAATGGATGCTTGTATATGGAGGAATTAATTCAAATGAAGAAGTTCTATCAGATACTGCTGTTTACAATATGGAAAAGTAGGTGTGGAAATTATTTAAAGTCAAATCTCCTCCTGTAAGTTGTCATGCCATAGTTAATATTTCATCTCAAGGCAAATTTCAAGAAACTATGACTACTGATATAATGCCATCAGATAACATATATTCTTTTGGAGGTAAAGATGCTGAAGGAAATTCTGTTAATTATATGCGTAAACTAACATATTGTTCATCTAATAATACTCCTCTTTCATGGGATATTGTGGAGACTATTGGTAAAGGACCTTATCCTATGCACAATCACACTATTGAATATCTAAGAAAAGTTTAAGGTATAGCTGTCATAGGTGGATTAAGAGATTTCATTGTAAATGGTACTTTAGAATCAGATGAATATTATATCTTTTATCCTAATTTGAATATTTGGTAATAAGTTATTGCTGAAGGGCTCAAGATTCCTCGTTGTGCTCATTCAACTGTTTTATTAAGTTCTAAAATTGCAGTCTTTGGAGGAATAGGAAGTGAAAGATATCTAGAACCTGATGTTGGATTCATTGAAACAGATTAATAATAGGTGTTATCTCGAGTAACTAAAGATAGGATTATGTACAATAATACACCTATTCTTGAAGAACCATCAAAATTGGAATTTTAATTAAGAAAAAAAAGATCAATGTTTTATGAAGAATCTGATGTTTCAGATGGATATAAACCATTTAAAATAACTCTTCGAAAAACTACTTAAGCAAGAAGATCATATCTTCCAAATCCATAAAGAAAAAAAGTATTAATGCGATATGATATAATGATTGGATTTGTAAAAAAAGTTATTCATGATAATCTGCACATACTCTAAAATTTTGAAAAATATTTAGAAAGAAAAATAATCTGATTATTATCATATTAATAATTGTTTTCTTTAATCCAATGGTGATGATAATGAACTGTAAGATTTACTTGATAATTTGAAGTTACTATGACCTATTCTTACATTCAGTCGACTGATACTCCTAGGAGTTATTTTGGTTTATTTAGAGTCTTCATTGTCTGAGTAAGAGCATGCCATTTCGAGAAGGTTCTATTTAAGTCTATTTGGATTTTTGATGATTTCTTGTATTTGAGGATCCCATTATACAATTAGATCTATTTGATTATTATTGATTATCTACCTTTAATTCTTCCTCTTTAGTAATGAGTAATTTCATTTGATTTATGCATACAATAAACAGTATAGAACAGTTTTCCCTAAATTGTGTCAAACTTGTCCATTTAATTTAATGACTAATATTTGGAATAAAAATGAAATAATCACTCCAATGTCAGAGTACAATTTGCTATATGTATGAATTATATTTCATTGTAGTAATATAATAAACATGTCAATCAAGTTTAAAATATAAAAGAATAACCAATGAATGTAGAGAAACCATTCCATAAGAAAAAATTAAAACCTTCTACATCCAAAAAATTACTTGAAATCAAACATCCTGAAAACACTGAAAATAAAATATTAGTGTAGAAAATCTTAACTATCAATAATTAACCTTCATCTTATGCTTTAAATGATGATTTACCTATTAAACCATCTAATTTAGGTTAGAAAATATTAGAAATGAGAAAATTAATTGAAGATAATGAAGTATTAACTATAAATTAATATTAGGGTATTGAAAAGAGAATAAAGTAAACTAATAGTGTTATCAACTTTGATAAAATAAAATAAGAATACAAGAAAAATAAAGTATATTTAAAGAATCTTACTGCAAATTCTCGACGCATTTATAATTGCTTTGTTCCAAGAGTATAAGTTCCAATGGAGGTTAAAAAAAAGAAGAAAGTTAATGAAAAAAAGTAGCAGTTATAAGATCTTAAACGATTATAATAATAATAACCTGAAGAAGAAAAAGATAAAAAACCTGTTTAATAAGTAGAAGAATCTAATGTAGATGATGTGTAATAAATGAAAAGCAAATCAAACTTAGATTAAGATAAATTAATATATTAACTTAATGAATTAAAATTAAAAGAAGACTGTTCAGAACAATCAGAGGATGATTGATCAATTATTTAATAAACTAGAAGTTAAGAATTCATTAAATTATTCTGCATAATTCGTTTATTGAAATTAATCCTCTTCTATTTCACTTTCTATAGTATTTGTACTACATCCTTTAACTGAATCATTTGCATCTATACTACAAGATTGAGAACAATAGTAATTATCATAAACGACACAGCCATCATTCTTGTAAAATTTCTTGTTGCATTTTGAACATTTGATCATATATTCTTAATTAAATTATATCAGACATTATTAACTACAAAAGTTCCTTCCATTACAATTTATCTCTGTATCATCAAAAATCTTATAACATAACCAACATGCTAATTTTGCTTAATTACATTATACTCCACTTACTGACATACTTACTTTACTTTAACAGAAACTATCTTCTTGCATTTATTATATATTTTCAGGCATTTCTTTTAATGCTCTCATTATTTTTATTTAATGACCTGGTAATATGCCCATTTCTCTTAACTATTAAACAGTGACATTCTCTCTAAATAAGAAATAAAAAATACTTAAACTTTGAATTGTGTAATTTAAAAATTTTTCTTTATATTGCAACAATCCTACTTAGGTAAAAAATATTTCAATATCTTTGTCTATTGCTGGTGTTTTAATTGATTTTTCTAAAGGTTGTAATTTAGCTGATGTTGGTCTAACAACTGTAGGGATAGATTTCTTTTCAAAACTATTTTTTTTTTGTAGTAAATTTTGAGTATAATTTCTTAATCCTTTATCTATTTTAGCAGCTTTCCATCTAGTACCATTTTATCCGGTTGGTTTTTCTGATTCCCTCTTAAATTTTTCTTATTGCATTATTTATTTAAGTTGTTATAATTGTTCTTCCTATTGATTTTGTTAGATTGATAAATACCATATGTTTAGTTTCTTTCTCCAATAGTTGAGTAGTTTGAGTCAACTAACTTGGTTTTTTTTTATTTGAGATACTTCTTAACTACATTAATTATAATTATTTGTTTAGGATATTTAAGCAATAAAATTTATGGCATGGATATATAAATAAAAATAAGAAAAAAATCTTTTTATCATAAATGTCTCAAAGACCTCCTGCACCATCAAGTAAAATAATCTTTCTACTTTTTTAGATCAACCTCCTCAACAACCATAAGCACCATAATATCAACCATAACAACCATAATATGCACCTTAATTTGCTCCTTAATATGCTCCTCAATATGCACCTTAATATGCACCTGCCCCATTAGCAACCTATCCAACATAATATGCTCCTGCATATGCTCCAGTTGCTCCATTAACATACAGTGTTGCTAGACCAGTTGCACCAGTTGTTGCTTAACCAGTTGTTGCTTAACCAGTTGTTTAAGCCCCAGTTTTACAATAATCAGTTATTGCTTAACCAGTCGTTTAACAATCTGTTCATGTAACAAAAAAATTCAAATTTAAATTAGGCAACAATCAAAGGAGAATCAAGAATTGAATATGTCCCATACTAAAAGGCTGTTATGGAATATGAAGAACAGGAAGTCGTTCAATATGTCCCAAGAGAAAGAAAAGTCACAGATTATTATGCAGTTGAATATTAAACAGAATACGTCCCATAAGTATTCTAAGAGAAATACACAGNGTTCCTTCCATTACAATTTATCTCTGTATCATCAAAAATCTTATAACATAACCAACATGCTAATTTTGCTTAATTACATTATACTCCACTTACTGACATACTTACTTTACTTTAACAGAAACTATCTTCTTGCATTTATTATATATTTTCAGGCATTTCTTTTAATGCTCTCATTATTTTTATTTAATGACCTGGTAATATGCCCATTTCTCTTAACTATTAAACAGTGACATTCTCTCTAAATAAGAAATAAAAAATACTTAAACTTTGAATTGTGTAATTTAAAAATTTTTCTTTATATTGCAACAATCCTACTTAGGTAAAAAATATTTCAATATCTTTGTCTATTGCTGGTGTTTTAATTGATTTTTCTAAAGGTTGTAATTTAGCTGATGTTGGTCTAACAACTGTAGGGATAGATTTCTTTTCAAAACTATTTTTTTTTTGTAGTAAATTTTGAGTATAATTTCTTAATCCTTTATCTATTTTAGCAGCTTTCCATCTAGTACCATTTTATCCGGTTGGTTTTTCTGATTCCCTCTTAAATTTTTCTTATTGCATTATTTATTTAAGTTGTTATAATTGTTCTTCCTATTGATTTTGTTAGATTGATAAATACCATATGTTTAGTTTCTTTCTCCAATAGTTGAGTAGTTTGAGTCAACTAACTTGGTTTTTTTTTATTTGAGATACTTCTTAACTACATTAATTATAATTATTTGTTTAGGATATTTAAGCAATAAAATTTATGGCATGGATATATAAATAAAAATAAGAAAAAAATCTTTTTATCATAAATGTCTCAAAGACCTCCTGCACCATCAAGTAAAATAATCTTTCTACTTTTTTAGATCAACCTCCTCAACAACCATAAGCACCATAATATCAACCATAACAACCATAATATGCACCTTAATTTGCTCCTTAATATGCTCCTCAATATGCACCTTAATATGCACCTGCCCCATTAGCAACCTATCCAACATAATATGCTCCTGCATATGCTCCAGTTGCTCCATTAACATACAGTGTTGCTAGACCAGTTGCACCAGTTGTTGCTTAACCAGTTGTTGCTTAACCAGTTGTTTAAGCCCCAGTTTTACAATAATCAGTTATTGCTTAACCAGTCGTTTAACAATCTGTTCATGTAACAAAAAAATTCAAATTTAAATTAGGCAACAATCAAAGGAGAATCAAGAATTGAATATGTCCCATACTAAAAGGCTGTTATGGAATATGAAGAACAGGAAGTCGTTCAATATGTCCCAAGAGAAAGAAAAGTCACAGATTATTATGCAGTTGAATATTAAACAGAATACGTCCCATAAGTATTCTAAGAGAAATACACAGGTAAATATAATAAATAAAAAATTATTAGAATATGTTCCAGTTGACAGATATTAAGAAAGAGTTGAATATTATCCAGTTGAAAGATAAGTTGTTCATGTAATTATTTCCTTAAATTAATTTTTAGTAATAAGTTGTTCAATAACCAGTTGTGTAATAAGTTGTTTAACAACCAGTTGTCTAATAAGTAGTCTAATAACCAATTGTATAAACAGTTGCACCATAACCAGTTGTTCAATAATATGTATAATAACCAGTCAGTGTTGTTTAACCAGTATAAACTTATCCAGTCTAATATGCTGCTCCAATTGTTTCATCAAGAGTGATTCCATCATACCCAACATATCCATAATATCCTTAATATCAACCTGCACCATAATAAGTTTAATAATAAGCTCCCCCCAGATCAAATTTGAACAATAACATTTGATAAATTATAAGTACATCATATAATAAATAATTTTGTTTATTTGTTTTTTTTATACATACTTTATGTTATGTTATGTTATGTATTAATATATAATAATCAAATTCTCTTTAATTGATCAGGATTAGGTACCAATTCATTTTATAGAAAAGTATAACTTATACAATTATTTCTAATCCATTCCTTTAATCTTTCTCTTTCTACAATATTTGATTCTAAAGCTCTAATATGATCATTATATCGATCATTAGTTAAAATCATTCCTCCCTTTTCTCTTGCATATTGAATCATATAAGAGTCATCATAATTCCAATTTGGAACTCCATAAGCATATCCTTTATTCTTCATTTCTAATAACATTTTGACATCATCAGGTAGTTTGTTAATATTATTTTTCTAATAGATAATTATTTAATTATATTACATTAGATTCTTTCTTTTTATTTATCTCATTATCATTAAAACAAAAATCAGGTAAAATAATCATTACTTCATGTCCTCTCTTTATCCAAAATTCTAAAGCACATTTCAAACCTTAAGAACAAAACTTTGCTATCTAAGATTACTCTTATCCATATCTAATTGCCACATTCATTCCATCTATTATAATAAGTTTCTTAATCAATTCTTTAGGTATCTATTATTCCAATTTTGGTTCTTTTACATTTTATATTTAAATTCCATGTAATTATTATATTATTTATTCACAAACATAAAATAGTATTGTTGATGTCTAATTATCTTCTTCTTTATAGATTGAAGATTATTGTTTAAATGTCTGAAGAACATGATTATAACAAATGTATCCTACTAATGGTATTTCAAATGGAAACAAAAAAGTGTGAAATTATTCATTCAATTAAGATTGAAATTAAAATAAATCATTATTCATATTCTCTGTCTAATACAAATTTTATCTTGAATATAAAAAGATTTATGCCAATTTATCATTTAAAGAAGGATATTCAGATAATAAATATGTACAAATTAAAGGTTAATCATATAAATAGTAAATGATTGGAATTACTAATTATAAATATGTTACTGGAAACACTTAATCTAAATTCTTCATTGAATTCTAAAGCAAATATTTTAATATAAAATCAAGTGAATTGACATATAATCCATAGACATATTTAATTGATTCTCTCACTAAATCATTATCTTTGATATCTTGAACAGTCTTCAATTAGAATGTAGTTAAACTATTGTGTAAACCAAAGTTTGTTATCATAATTACTTTTAATAACAATTGATATTATTATTTATGATCACTATGTACATTTGTTTTGACTATCTTAAAATACTCTTATAAATGATAAAACATATTAGTTAATTAAGGCAACTCTTCAAAACCAATTTTAGTAAACTATATTAACTCTAAATTCATACAACAATTGTATTAAATCTTATTAAATAAACCATAAAAGTTCTTAAATATGTATCCCTATCCAATTCACTTGCAGGTTTAATGTGTTTAGCCCATTCATTATAATGAGTTCTATTCATTTCAAATACTTCATTCATATTCTCTTTGCAATTGTAAGATATTTGAGCAAAATAGGCTTTAAATAGATAACATGCTGCATTGAATGTGTCTTAAAATTATCTCATTAATTTAGCTACTAAGAAGTAATATTTTCCTTAAAAGGGATAGATAGATATTGCCTTATTATAGAATAAATCAGCAAATTTAAAATTATCCTTTGGCTATTGATTCATCTTTTCAAATCTCCTACCAAGATGTTCATGTAATTCACCAGCATAACAATATAAATTAGCTAAAAATTATCTGAATTAATTATCATTATTCAATTCTCCTAGTTATTGTTATTGAGTTAGATTTTTGATAATAGTTTTTAAGAAATTTATTCGAAGATCATAAAATTATTTAATTTCTTAATCTACATCTGGAGATATGCTTTTTAATTCAATATCAATTTATTGTTTAAGAATATGCCACATTCTTTTATCAATTTACTTAAAATTATTGCCTTAAGTATTACTTTAGCAATAGCAAAATTAATGCCAGATAAGATTAACTCTGTAGTTACTTAAAAAAATTGTTTTGTATCATCACAATTCAATTCTTGAAGTGTAAAGACAACATTAGGTTTTTCCTTATTTCTAGTATAAAGATTAATAATACTTCAATTTATCTAATAACTCTTTGAATTTGTTATATAAACTGATCTGTGTTTCAACATTCATATATTAAATATTATTATAAAGAATTATGATAAGTTAATCTGAACTTTAGAATGAAATTAAGTAATTCATAAAAGATTCAAATTGGAATGCTGTTGTCTAAGAATAAATCAGTTAATTTGAAGCTTTTTTACCAACTAATCCTTGGCTATTCGTATATGAACAACCCTCTAATTTAGCACATTATTTATATTTTCTAACAACAAATAATCAAACAAAACAATAATTGTAATCTATGCTCTATCAACTCTTGGTAGAATAGTATCAATTAACAAAAGTCAAAAGATCTTATTTGATAACTAGTTTTACTTTACTTTTTATTCCACATAATTTAGCATTATTATAAAAGTACATAGTTGACAATTATGATGAAATGCTAACAATAGACAAAGCTGTTTAAATCATTATTTGGTCTTTAAGGTTGAGAGAGTTACATGAATTAGCAGAGTAAATGAAAAAAGTTAGTCCTATTACAATGAATATACTCTAATAATTTGAAACACAATTAAACAATTCAAATGAGCAATATAGTTTTGATTTATTAATTTAACTGTTAAAAAAATGATTGAATAATATAAGGTTCATGAATAAATTGGTTAAGGAGAGTTTGGAAAAGTCTATAGAGCAACCAATCTTCTTACTTAAACAGTAGTTGCTATTAAAAGTGTGGATGTGGCCAAATTTAATGAAACACCAAAATTACTTGAATTAAGTATGCAAGAAATAGAAGTACTTTAAAAACTTTAACATTGTCCATATGTTGTTAAATTCATTGAATTAATTAAAATGACTCATCAATATCATTTTGTATATGAATATTGTTCAGGAGGTCCTCTTGATAAATTATTGTTATTGTAAGGACATTTTACAGAGAGAAAATCATTAGAGATAATTTATCAATTAATTTAAGCATTTAAAGTTCTTAGAGAAAATTCAATTATACATAGAGATTTAAAACCATCTAACATATTAATTCATAATGGAATTTACAAATTAGCAGATTTTGGATTTTGTAAACCAATCAAAAATGATGTTACAGCCACTATGTTAGGTTCACCAATATATATGGCACCAGAAGTACTAAGAGGTCTTTCCTATAATAGTAAAGCAGATATATGGAGTTTGGGAGCAGTATTATATGAATTATTGATTGGTAAGTGTCCATTTGAAGAAAAATCTATTGCTAAATTAATAACTGCTCAAGATGAAACTGATTGGGTTATACCACCATAATTTCATTTTACTAAATAAACAATTACTCTTATGAAATCAATGCTTATTAAAGATCCCAATAAAAGATGTACTTGGGAATATTTATTTAAAATTCCTTTAAAAAATGATGGAGAATTTAGTGGAGATTTGGAACTTTATTCAGAAAAACCAGAATAGAATATTCTATAACCAACCAATAATAATATTAGCAATGCAAGTATCTTATAAGAAATAGTAAATGAAAGATGCAAAGTTTAATTTATGTGTTAAACTGCTCATACTATATTAGAATAATCATAGAATAAAGAATCTCCATTAATTGCATACTATCTATTATTATTGGCTAATAATAGAGGATAATAATTATTAAGTGTTATTAAAAACTAATGTACAACAGCTACTGAATATTTTAGTTTAAATAAATTATCAATACATTTAAAATAGTCATAAGATAATAGATTATAATCCAATTTTGAATTTACACGATTAGTTGAAACTATTTCTAAAGAAGTTGATTAATTGAATATTGGATTAAAAGAATATAAAGTGATATTAGATGCTTAATCATTAGAAATTAAAGATAATTATAGATAAAATATTAAAAATTATGTAAATCAAATTAAATAATCTAATTATGTTGCCTTTTTAGATACTAACTAAGAAAAAACCCTTTTAACCCATTGTGTCTAAGTTTTAGATGCTTTATAAGTTGATAAATTTATGAATTCTATGATTGGTATATATATTATAATAATATAATTTAGATCCAACTATGGATGCATATTTAGAAATTAGATCAATGACTAAAAAGTAGTTATTAGATAGATTTGATACTTTATAATGATTTAATTATTAAATTAATATTTTAATTAGTATTTCCGTATAATTCTAGTAATTTACATGAATTAATAATTTAATAAATTGTTATTGTATTTTCATAGTTTCATTATATTTTGAATTATTATTATATACTTTTGATTTATTTAGAAATTGGATAAGATTATTTAGTTTATAATTTAATATCAAAATTTATGAACATTAATAACATGAAAATATTAAAAATCATTTTTATTTCTTATTTGAAATCTTGAGTGTTGCAACTGTTTTTGTAGCCTTACAATTTTTACATTCTTTACTGTATAGTCTAGATTCAACATCTCTTATTAATGTAGTTGCTGAACTCATACATAATGAGCATAAAACATATTCCTCTATAGATTTTAAACTAATAAATACACAAATATTTTTTTATTAATGTTTCAATTTAAGTACTTGTGTACCTACCTTTTATTATCAATTTTTCATCTGCTAATGATCTAATATAATTTTTTATTGAATACCCTTCGGTACCCATCTCAATTAACAAATATTAACTAACATGTTATGCTTCTCTATTCATTTATATACAAATAGCTTCAAAATTTTTCCATAAAGTTTTCTTTGTTCCTAATCTATCAATCTATGGTTTCTCTAATTAAATATTATTTTGAGTGGCTAAAGAAGGATTATTTTCTTTTAATAATTCAATAATTTTCTCTAAAGCTTTATTATAAAATTCTTTATTCTATTATTATTTATTAATTATAGGTGCTTATGTTACAATCTTTTTAACTATCTCAATAATTAAATACAATTACCAACTTTGACCTTCTTAACAGAATTTGGTTTGTTGAAATCAATGATATCCATTTAAATATTATATTTATATATATTCTTTAATAATTAATCACATGCACATTTAATAAATATCAATTCTTCTTCAGTTTTTATTGTTAGGGTTTGATTAATTATTCCAATCTCTTATAAGATTTAATAATTTCTTTGATTGGCTACCAAATCCAGATAGAATCACAAAATACAAAGGAGAACCAGAAAAAGAATATGTTAAAAATTGAGAATGTAAAACATCCTTCTGCTCCACATTATTCAATAAAGCCAGCCCAAATAGGTTAAGCACAGAATACTACTGTTCCACATATTTAAAATGATGAAACTACAAGGATCAAAACTTCTCTTAATAACTTAATAATATTATTTTAATAGATACATTATGCTCTTGTTTTGAAGACTTATAGAGTAATGCAATTATAATACATAATGGTCCCATAACAAATGTCTCACCTATTGATACTATAGCAACCATCTTATCATCTCTAAGGAATCTTGCATCCATTTGAGAATATAAGTAATGAGTACTAAAATATAATAATTGAATACGTCTTTGAATATTCAAAATAAGCAGCCAAACCATCCATATACAAATGTATCAAATATCCATTTACCAAAAACCACCAATAAGTAAAACCCAAACCTTTACGATAATTGTAGAAGTGTGTAATTAAGGCCAAAACAAATAGAGTACCAGCCACAGAATGACCAAGAAAATCATTAGATGAGACTTCTACTAATTTTTCAAATGTAAATGTATATCTTGAAGTGGATCCCATTTTAATTAAATAATATTATTTAAAAAATCTAAAATCATTTTAATAGGATTTAATTCCTATTATTCTTAAACAAAAACAATAAAATGAGCAAAAATATGTAATTATTAGAGTTTTTTGAATGTAGTTGATAGTATATATAATACATAAAGTATCAATTTGAATTATCATAATTAGTGATAATCAAATTTAACATTATTATTTGATTATTCATTCAATAGAGAATTTATTAAGTATTCTTTTATTGATAACATTCAATCTCCTTTATTTTTTATCTAATTTCTGCTTGATAGTGTTATGTATTCTACTCATTTAATAAGGATCATCATGTATTTTTGTACTTAAAGCAGGTAATGAAATATCATTAGAATTATGTAAAGTAACTTTCAAAGGAGATACCTTTGGTGATGGAGTTTAATGATTTTTTCTTCTCTTTTTTTAAGGTAGTACCGGTATTTTATTATAATTATGGATTGGAAGCATTCTTGCAGGATCCTTGAGATGACCAAGTCTAATCATCATAAACATTTTTTTCCTTTCTAATTCTTCCATGTAACCAAAATCTAGATCATTTATTTTTTAAACTACTGGTGATCTTTGTTATTTTTCAATTTTTATTAAAGGTTTTGATCGAACAGCTTCTAATATAGATGGTGATGAAGGAGGTGAGAAGTGATTTTTTTTAAGTTTTTAAGAAATATCTTTCTTGATCAAGGACATTAATTTAATGGTTTATTGATTGGTTCTTTGTGTGACTTTCTCTATTGATACATCCATTAATTTAATGAAATAATAATATAGTGTGATATTACCAATTAGTGCTGAAGTAAACTTTTTGCTCATCCTATTTAGAGTTTCTAAAAGGGAAGCAAATTTGTAGATTATTTAATAGATTTCGATTTGAGTAAGCAAAATTAGTAAAAGGTTGAATTGGTATCATAAGTATGAATTTGATATTAAGTTAGTCACCAATTGTTAAAATGTATATACTTTCTAATTACTTACCAGAGTTTATGGTACAATTGACAAATCAGAAATAGATTCAAATTTAAGAGCGTAAGACTTCATTTGAAAATTGTGAATAGAGAATATTTAATGTTGTTCAATTTTAAGGAATTGAAGTTACTTTAATTGCTAAAGTAACTTAAAGTCCAAATAGAGCTGCTTAAGTCATTGATGTGGTTGCAGAAGAATTGGATTATTTTAAGGGATATGAAAAAGATGTTGAGAGAAAATTAAGAGACAACTTTGGCATTTTAGAGAGGAATAATTGGTAACGATTCTGTCCTAACATTATTGCTATTAATTTGAATGTTGAAATCAATATCTATCAGTATGGTGATGAGTCAAATGTAATTGCATAATTCTTAACAGAAATAATTAGAAAATACATATTGTATTTCTATAAGTCTATGTTACTTACTTATAATGTTTGGTAAGGCATAAATGATTCTGAATTGTTTAGAATGAATAAATAAGTTCTATTACAATAATAAGATATCAAGTTAAATGTGTATCAATAAATAACAACTCTTAAAGATTTATAAAAGACCTCATATAAAGAGTAATTTATATATCATCAACATTTAGATTAAAGAAGAAATATTTTAAACATTATCCTAATCTATCTCAATCAACTTTCTCTACTCCTGTCAAATAATCTCAGGTTAGTCTAACAAATTCATAAACTCCAACTAAAACTCCTTAATTATAGAGAAAAAAAGCAGGAATGATTCTGAAAAGAGGAGATGGACCTATAGATTACAATTGGAATTAAAGATATTTAGTTTTAGATGGATAAACTTTGATATATTTTAAAGATAGAAATGATAAAGTACCAAGAGGTGCCATTAATCTAAGAGAAGCTTATATATCACCTATCTCTACTTTAGATGATAGAGAACATTGCTTTTATTTAGAAGTAGAAGCCTAAAATAATAAGCAATTCTATTTTAGTGGTGAAACTTTAGATGAAACTTAATAATGGTATGAAGAGATCTCTTAAGCCACTACAGCAATTGTATAAACAGAAAAACGACCTTCTTTAGTAGTTACTAATACTTATTTATTGACTGATACTCTTCCAAAAGAATTATCTAAATATAAAATATTAACTACACTTGATGATTTACAACAATAATGGCAATTTCGTAAATTTAGAAATGGAGTTAAAATATATGAAAGTCCTATTTAAAATAAAAATACTATGAATTAGAAACTATATCTACTTCTAAGTATCTTATTCTGTTTTAGTGTTTATTTAAAACCAAATTGGTTACCATTTTTGATGGCATTCTTGGTTGCAGGCTTATCTGCCTCCTACTTTAATAAACAAAAGGCTTAGACTATACGAGTTTATGGGAGAATGGTTTGTGATATTGATTCAACAAAAGCATTTAGAATAATTAAAAACTTGAAGTTTAAGAAAGTTCTGGATAGCAATTTTGTTTAAATTAATAAAATAAAAGATAATAACGATATAGAATTTGCAGTAAATATGTTAATTTATATTAGAAAAGAGCTAAAGTTCATTTTATTATACATCCTATTAGATAAAAATAAGTAGTATCAAAACCAGTCATAATTCAAATGAACTTATTGAGATATAGATTCATTATAAATAATGGTAGTTCTTTTATTGTTGATATCTTGACTTCTGAAAACAATAAATTTAATATGTTTGAAGCTTATGAAATACAAAGAATTCCTAAGGTTTCAGGCAAAGGATTAGTAAATTATTATTGTGAAATAACTTGTTAAAGAATAACTACTGAATTGGTAATTAGTAATATTAATAAAATTAGGAAAAATATTTATATAATAAAGCAGAGAATCTGAGTTTGATTTCATAAACTATTGATGAAGAAAGATTTCATTAATTTTAATAATCAATAGTAAGTGAATTATCATCTACTTATATTAAATAGAAATCAAAATCTATTGTAGGATTTGATGAATAAATAAATTCAATCACATTATTAAAGAATGGATAATAATTAAAAAGTAAAAGATTGGAAGAAAGAGTACCAGGATATAGAAGATTTAAAGAGGGTGGAATTGAATGTTTTAATAAGGAAGAAATTAAAGCATAAGATGGATTAGTATTAGATTTAATGAGATCAGCAGGTAGATAATTATTTGAAGGTCGAAATATTATTTCATTTTCATTACCTGTTCGTATATTTGAACCTAGATCTATGATTGAAAGAATATGTGATTATTGGGGTTTTATGCCTATATATATGGAATATGCTTTAGGATAATAGGATGAAAAAGAGAGATTTAAACTTGTTGTTACAATGATAATAGCTGGTTTATATTATGGAGGAAGATAAAAGAAACCATTTAATCCTATTTTAGGTGAAACATTTTAAGGTTAATGGTAAGATGGATCATCAGTTTCAATTGAACATACAAGTCATCATCCTCCTATTTCACATTTCTATATTGAACATTTTAGGAAGAGATATAGATTTTTTGGACATTTTGAATATTAGGCTGCTTTAAGATATAATGCAGTTATAGGACATTAAGTAGGAGAGAATGTTGTTGAATTTAGTGATGGTTAAAGAATTACATTTAGTATGCCACCTGTTAAAGTCAGTGGTTTAATTTATGGTGCTAGATTATTAGAATGGTATGGGAGTATCAAATTTGTTGATTAAAAGAATAATATAATTTGTGATATTAAATTCTCTGAGGGAGCAGGTATGTTAATTGGAAGAAATTAAAAGCCAACTGATTATTTTGAGTATTTTATTTAGATTTTATATTTTAGGGGGACTTTGTTTTAGCATAATAGAGTAGTATCTAAAGTTGAAGGTTCTTGGTTAGAATCTATTAGTTGGGATGGAATCAAATATTGGGATTTAGAAAAGATAGATCCAGCCTATATTATTAAATCTGAAATTCCATTACCTAGTGATTGTAGATTCAGAACTGACCTTATTGAATTATCTAATCATAATTTAGATGGAGCATAAGAGTATATGCATTAACTCTAAACTATAGGGAAAAAACTAGACTTGAAATCATTTAGAGAAGAGATAGAAAATTAAGATAGGATTATAAAAATACCAATTAGAAATGAACATTAAATAATTATTCAATTATTTCATATTCTTAATTTAAATAATAATAATATATTAATCTAAAAATTAATTATTGTAAAATTATTATAAATATAACCAGATCAAAATAGTGGGATATAATATTCAATTTGTTAAACTATAAAATCTGGTTATTTCCACACAAAATCATGATTACAAATACCTGGACATTCAACATATGTACTTATTTGATTACCTAAGAGAGATTAATTAACTACTAATTAAAATGTCTTATTAAAAGAACATTCATATTATTAACAATCAGAACCTGTTAAATTTCTATCAGCACATGTTATAGATTAATTTTAAGCAGTTATAACAATAATAGGCTTATTAATCATTGACTATGCATTTATAATAGATGACTCCATACATTCTTCTTAACATTCTTCTAGTTCAGATGCATATCCAAGTGATTATGAATACCAATTTCTTGTAGTAGTGATTTACCAATTTATCCAGCTCTATAGATTTGATGGTTCAAATCCTTCCTTTCCTATGAAAAATGGTGTCTCTATATATAATGGCCATAATGAAGCCATAAACTTAATCAGAGGTAAAGTTGATTTTTATTAAGTATAAACTTAACTTACAGTTTAATTCTAACATTATCCAACCAAATAAAACCAATTCATTACTGGTACTGAATCTAATAAGATAATCCCTTTAATGCTTATCATTTATTATGCATAATAACGACATAATTATCCTCCAACAGAATGACCTACACAAACTATTGAATTTGGTACTGAAGTATTAAATCCAACTTTATCCATTACTTATTAAGCAATACTCATAGTATTTTAAGAACTTTAAGGAGATGCTGCTTACCAACTCATTCCATATCCAGCCCTATCATAACTACAAACTCTGTAATTCTTGGAAAGTTGAGTTTATATTTCATAAAAATCTACTCCACTAGAACCTCCTCCAGCCTCTAAAACAATCTATGGTAAATTCTTAGCTCCAGTACAATAAGTTCTGATTTTGACATCTTAACCTTAACTTTCAACAATATAATATTATTCACCTTCTCCTAAACTACATGGAAAATTAGCTTCATGAATTATTTAACATGTATTTAAGATTACTAATATTAATACAAAAGAATATAGAATATATTTTAGAGCTATCACACATTTTGAAGTTTATGTTATATTGACAGAGTTCTAACTTTCTGTTAACTAAATTTATTGTGTCAAATAAGTGTCAACTTCTTATACTTTCTTACTATTCTAAATTCTCTATAGAATCCATAAAGTAGATTAAAAACCTGCAATTATAAATGTAAATAAGCAAATACAGGCAGCTAACACATCAGAAACAGGATTAATGAACCAACAAATAAAATCTATTATTTAAAGTATTGCTATGGCAGTAATAATAATTTCTAGTCCAATTTTATAGAATTCTTATGGTTTATTCTTCATTATATCGTTTAATCGCAATATCAAGTTAATTGAGACAAAAATACAGAAGATTAATTCTATAAAAGTATTTGCTGGAGAAGATTTGGTCAATCTTCCAAAGGGGGTAATAATGTTAACTAAAAAAACAATTAAGAGGCTTATCGCTAATACAGAGAATCCAATCATTCCAAATATTATCCAACGAGCATATTTTGTTTTTTGAACAAATTTTAACATTTTGAGTCAAATAATAAAATATGGAAATTCCAAAAAACACATATATATTATTCAAAATTCCGTATTACATATTATCTATAAAATATCTATATAATTAAGTTAGAACTAATATTTATCAAAATCATTATTTAATATAAAAAAGATATAAGTATATATATCCTTAAATTTATGAATTAAAATGAATGAGAATATATTCAAACAACAATATTTATAATTTTTTTGAATTATATTAGATTCCTTTGAAATCATAAATAAATTAATATATTAAATCAAATTAGAGGCTCATTTTGTTTAAGATTATAAAAAAAACAAGAATATTTAGAAATAAGAATTATTTAAATAGAAATTATTAAAAAAGTTAATTTTCTAATAGATATAATTAAATATATTCTAGAATTAAATAAAAAATAAGATTTAATAAATTATCCTTTAATAAACTACCAATATTTCTAATTATCTATAAAAATATAATATATAAGTTGATACTTTATGATTTATTAGTGTTATGAAATACATATTAAATTTAATTGTTACTTAATATATATATATAAATCAAATTTGAATTTTCAAGCATAAAATTGAGACATTGTCTTTTGATTATCTTTTTTATGCTAATTTTTATAAGAATTTTGTGACTTCATCAGCGGATTCTTTATATCTAATGAATTATAACAACTCCTAATTTAATATTATATAAAAATGATACCTATTCATTCACAACATCCCATAAACCATCTGAAGCTACAACCACCCATTTATGAGAAAGTCTCAACTCTACTTTAACCTAATCTGGTGTACAAATCAATCCATATTAAGTAAAACTGTGATCTCCAAAAGCTCTTGATATAGCTAATATTCCATTTAATCGATCCATTAACACAGTTCCCTAATGCTATTGAATACGAGTTCTCTCTCCCTATTTATTAGGCTTATGGTCTGTTGTTAAAGGCACAACTTAATCTCCAAATAGAAATGCTCTAGAATCTCCCACATTTGCAAAGTATAACACTCTCTTGGCTCCTTCAAGTCTCATAAACCCTATACTAGCTGTTGATCCAATTTCATTTGAATCACATTCTTATTTAACCATTTCATTGATCTTTCAAAATAAATTGATTCATACTTTTTCAAATGTATCCTAAAGTAATTTATCAAATGGTCTTTATTTTTGCTTATGTAACTGAAGAAAAACCTTGAGATAGTTAATGAATGTTAAACTTTAGGGAAGTTAGTGGATACAAACTTAGCAACAGTTTATCCTCCATGACCATCCATGATTCCAAATAAAATAGATTGACTTCCATCTTCTAAAATGTTGTCCTTGATAAAATAAACTAAATGAAATTCAGTCCATACAATCTTCCATTTATTATCTGTATGGTATATTAATCTCTTCATCATAAGCATATTCTTTTGCACCTATAGCCTTTGGAATATACACACTTTAGTTAGTATACATTATTTTAATGAATAAATTATTACTCATAATTCTAAATTGTTGTTTGGGTAGTTTATTTATGGGATTCTGTTTGGGTCAAATGAATGTGATAAGTTCAGATGTATATAATGTTTATAAAATTGATGATACTTTTACAAAAGGTCTAATGCAATGTAAAATTATATCCGTTTTCATTCAGCTTTATTAACAATAGGAGGAGGAGTAGGTTCTATATCAGCATCAATATTGATGGGATTATTTTCAAGAAGAAAGTGCTTATAAATAACTGATCTTTTTGGAATGATGGCTATAATGATAGCATTCATGGATGAAAGCAAATATGCACTTTTGACTTCTCGATTCTTTGTAGGACTTGTACTAGGACTTAATGGAGTTCTAGTACCTGTATATATAAATGAGATGTCTCCAAAAGAGAAGGCAGGGATTTTAGGAACAATGAATCAATTGTTTATAACTTTAGGAATATTGACAACATTTTTGATGTCTTCATTTTAAGATTTTTCATTACCTATCCCATTTTATAAGATGATGCTCTATTTACCTATTATACCTTGTATAATAAGAGCTAGTGCATTATCTACTGTGTTTAAATATGAAACACCTGTATATTGTGCTAAACATCATTTAAAGTATCAATAAATGTAAAACAAAGTTAGCAATTACATAAAGTTGTGGAAATGATATACGAAGAAAAGGCAGAAAAAATGTATGAATAATTTTAATCATCCTAAAAATCAACAGAGAGGAGGATGACTATAAACCAATTATTATCATCAAAATATAGAAGTAGATTATTTATTGGAATTTCTCTTGCTTCTTTACAACAGTTAGGAGGCATAAATGGGATTATGTTTTATTCTTCTTCAATATTTGATTAAGTATAGAATATAAATGTCATCTTAGGTGACTGGTTAAGCATCAAAAAAAGTATTTTATTTAAATCTAATTGTTGGTTTTATTGGAGTATTTACAGCTTTATTAGCTACTGTAATAATTGAGTAATTTGGAAGGTATGATTAATATAATATTATAAATTAGAAAACCAATTTTAAAATATGGAACATTATGGTGTTTTATTAGTCTATTAATGTTAACATTTGTAATGTCAAATAGTATAGGGAATACATCATTTGGATCATATTTAATAGTTATTTGTATATTTTCGTATCTATTTGGTTTTGGATTCTCCTTAGGTCCATTATTATTCATATATTTAACTGAAATATTACCAGATTTAGGAGTAAGTTTTAGTGGATTAATGAATTGGATGTCTGGAGGATTAGTAGCTTAGATGTTTCCAATTATTGCCTCATACGATATATCCTATTGTTTTGCTTTATTTTCCATATTTAACTTTATAGCGTATTATTATACTTTAAATAACAATTTAGTTATATGATAATCCAATAAAAAGTAATTGAAACAAAAGGATTAGATAAAGAAGCTGTGGATAAATGTTTTGAAAATCAAAAGTTTGATTATATACCTTATTAGGAGGCTTACTAAGAAGATAGATTTCGTTGAAATAGAATTTGAATGAAATCATTTGTCAATCATAATTATATATAAACCAAAATTACAGAAATTTAAATTAAATCTTTTACATTTCAATCCCAATATTTTTTATATATTCATCAATATTTCTATATATTAATCCTCCTAAGAAGTTGTAAGAAAAATGAGTAAAAATTTAATTGATGATTCTTGTAAACAAACTTTCTTATTCAATATGGTTCACTATGATCATAATCTTTCTTATAAAATTATCCTATTTTTTGAATCTCCTAAATTAGTAGAGTAGATCGAATTAATCGCCACAATCATAGATAATAATGAACATAAATTATATTTTATTAGAATAGAAACATTATTTAAAAAGATTAAATATATATCTATATATTAAATAAAATTAATAATGTTTAATATCATAATACTAAATATTCACAATCTTTTGTGGAAAGTCTTTTTATTTTATTTTATCTTTGCGTAGATGAAAACATTTCTAAAGGATCTACATTCATTTCATTATGAAATTATTCAAAAGTTATGCTTAAATTTGGTTTACGTCTTACTGCAGTTCTAAATCCTCTTTCTTACTTTTATGATGAATTCATTTAATTTCTATCTTATGGTGTTCCACATTCTTTTAATTGCAATTACAATTCACTTAATAATTCAACTTATTTAAATAAATCAACTTTTTAATATCTTTTAGAAATTATTTAAACTGGATTAGGTTTTTAATCAGCTTTACCTTCAGATTTTTTTCTAATAACAGTAAAATCTTTTTATTCTGCAATCATTTTAGGTTTTAATTCTATAAAATTTGATTCTAAAGATGTATTAAATCCCGAAGCTGTTTTATTGCAAGGAGTTTTAGATTTGCATGAATCAAATTATTTAAATGAATGCCTAATTGATGTTTTATTTTATTTTTTAACATCTGATTATTCTATATCAAATATTTGAACTTCAATAAAACCTTTATTATTATTATTATTATTATTATTATTATTATTATTATTATTATTATTATTATTATTTTCTAATTAATTTTAAATTAATTCATTCTACATAATGACTTTTGAAGGTGTTATCAATTGTTTATATTAAGGTGTAAAATATTCATCTGTTTATGTGTATTAATCAGAATATTTTCCCTCCTACATAAATTAATTATAATGATTCATTTCTAAATCCAATTGCTATTATTTTACTTCTATTTCTTTCTCAAACTCAATATTAATTTAATTTTACTTCTTTCTATCAGTTTCAATAAATTTCTCATTTTAATTATTGACTATACATTTCTATTATAATAATTTCAATTAATTTTCTAACTAATCTTTTTAAAACTATTATTTCTATAAACTCTATTAATAATTCAATAGTAATTTTTATAACCAAGTTATCTTTGATTATAATTATATAAATTAATTATGATAAATTTAAGAATAATCTAAATTTTCATAATTAATCTTAAGTTTCAATATACTTTATAAAAAATCTTAAATATAAGATGATTATTTAGGATTAGCTTAAACTACTTTACTAGGTTGAGGTTGATTCCTCCAAATATGAATAGCAGTCTTTAATAAAATGGTTTTATTTTGGGAGAGCACTTTTATAATATATAGTTAAATTACAATATAAAATGATTTTTTGATAGTTAGTCTCTAGATCATTTTGTACTTTATGTTATAAAGCAATTTAAGATGTCAATTCCATTTCTTTTTATGTGTAAGCTTCTTTTGTCTTTTTTAGATCTTAATTAATTTTTTCCATAAATTAAGTAATAGATGTTTCAATTAATTATTAATATATCTACATTTCTCTTTCTATTACTTTTGATTATGAAAGAATCTAATCAATTTCTTTATAATTAATTGCATAACCTTATTTTTGATGTTTAAATACTGATAAAAGAAATGAATTGCCATGATTATCTTAAAAATATTTCCATATTTTATAAGGATCTTTTTCAAGTTATGCTATTTTTCTAACTAAATATTCAGCAGATTAATGATGTTCATGTTTTTATTTATATTCTTTTAATGTCTGTTTTGTCAATACCAATTCTCTTTTTTATGCTTCGACTATAATATTTAAATGCTTAATCTTATTTTCATATGAATGAGAGATTTTTTCAAAGCTTTTATTTATTATATCTAAAGTAGCTTAATCTTTTATTAAATTTCTATCAATAAAAATATTCTCATTATTTGTTTAAGCATGATTTAGTCTATAAATTTATTCACTTAGAATTTGAATCTCCTTCATATAAGATGATGTTTAATCTTATATTAATTAATCTCTTTTTGATAATTTGTCAGTCAGTTCTTTTAACTACTACTTACATTTTTTGTGTAAATCCAAATCACTATCATCAATATCTCCTATCTTTCGTTCTTTCTAAATAATAAACAATTTGACTTTGTTACAGGGGTTCTATCTTAAATGACTTTTGAGATTATATATGAGATTAAGTAAATCTGATTTCTATTAATATTTTTAGATTGCATTATTATCATCAATTATGTATGTCATAATTTAGTATATCATTTGATAGCATGAATCTTCTGTTTAATTAAAAAGTTAAATTATTTGTTAAATAGACTCATCTAGTTAAAGCAGTATAAAATTCATAATATATAATATTTTAACACTTTTTAAGCTATTATTAATTATTAATAATGAACAATAATATTGGTGAAGATGATGATGATTTACTAATAAGTGGAGCTAGAAACAACAATAGAGGTTAAATAAATTTAGATTTATCTAATTATTCATGTAATATGTAAGAATGTTAATTAAATACTATTAGACCTGATATCACACCATAATTTGATTTAATTAATTTTAGAAAGTTCATCCTAAATTAAAATTGGAATATAAATGAATTATAAGAATTGATTTTGAATTGTTAATTAAGTTCAATCAAATTAAGATTTAGCATATGGAGATTATTTTTAGGCATTTTTTAAATAGATGATTCTATAGAGTAGAAAATCATAAAGCTTAATTAAAATAGATCAAATTATTAAAATTTAAGTAAATAATATTTATAAGCTGAAACAAAGAAAGAATCTAAAAGAAATATGAGAAATCCTTTATTATAAAATTAATAAGAATAATAATAAAAACCAAATGTATATATATAGAAATATATTTAAAATAAAGGTTTGGAATAATTTTTTTGAGATAAATCACTTAAAAAATGAAATAAAGAAAGATGTTGATAGAACTCATTAAGATAAATAGTTATTTTAAAGTTTAAAGATTAAGAATTTATTGTCAAATATTTTATTTATTTGGAGTGTTAAGAATCCTACAATTTCATATAGATAAGGTATGAATGAATTAGCAGCAAATGTGATTGAAGTATATTTTACAGAAGCTTAAGGTTTTAATAATTTAGAAGATAGTGATGATAAGAAGTAAATTGCAATATTTTATGATACTAAATTTGCAGAAGAAGATATCTTTTAATTATTTGAATAAATAATGAATGCTCATGTTGATATGTTTAAACATACTCCAGAAAGTCAAAAAAAATAATAACTTATAATATAAAATAGAATTTAAAAAATATATGATTAATAATTAAAAATAATAGATATAACATTATTCAAACATTTAAAAGTATAGGATGTTGAATTATCTGTATTTTTAGTTAGATGGATTAGGTATATATATATATATTAATTTTAAGATGTATGTTTACAAGAGAATTTCATGTTGAAGATTCTTTAAAAGTATGGGATGCCATATTTTATGATTATTATCTTACTGAAGATAAATAATGGCTATTATTAGTTGATTGTATTGTTATTGCCATGTTTGTATATGTTCGAGATTAAAGTAGTTGATTAAACTTTATTTTTAGTACTTGAAAAGGATGATCCAAATGCATGTTTGAAAAGATTTCTAAAATATCCACCAGTTGAAAATTTAGCATAATTGATTCAAGCTGCTTTTAGTATTAAAAGAGTTTTATAATCTGCAAATCCAGAATAAGCTTTACTTTAGGATTAATTCTTAATTACATTCTTAGGTAGTAGAGATGTAAGCAAATCTCCTAAAATATTTTAAAATATTCAAAATTAAGAAATTCAAGAAGATAATAATAATAAGTAAATAATATAATAAATTAGATTGATAGAAGCAACTAATTTAAAATAATCAGAAAGTATTGAAATGTAGAATAATTAAGCATAATTAATACTTAAAGCATTAAATTAAGGAATTTTGTGTATTCAAAGATTTAATACAGATAAATCAATTAATGAAGTGAAATAATTACTAGAAAATGCAAAATCAGAATTATTAAAATGTTTAGATTAATAATTAAATTGAATTTTAAACTCAAAAATTATGTGCACCTAATAACTCATGTAAACTCTCTCTTTTTTATAGTCTATATATAGTTTCAGCTAATAATGGAGCAACACTTAAAACACTCAATTTATCATATAAAATTTATTTATCTAATTCTTTTACTTATATGGTATCAGTAACATAAATCTTTGATAAATTTGAAATTCCTAAATTAAGTGCTGCTTTTCCTGAAAATACTGGATGAGTAGAATAAGCCATTACTTATTTAGCTCCTTCCCTTTTTAATATTTCAGCAGCATTTTTTAATGTACTTCCTGAATCTACAATATCATCTATAATCAAACAATTTTTTCCATGAACATCTCCTACTAGACTTATTTCTGTTTCACTAACAGGATGTTTAGATTTATATATCATAGCCAATTCTTTATAATAATTAATTATTACTTGTCTTTATATTTGGAAATGCTATTTTTAATTCATCCTATACTTTCTTTACTCTTGATACACCATTAAAATCAGGAGATACTAAAGTTAATTCATTAGGTGGACTTAATTTTAATGGATGATTATTAAGTTCATGAATAAGTGTTATGTATGGTGATAGATTATCTACAGGAACACTTGTAGAAAATGCACCTTAAAGTTATCCTCTATGAAGATCAATTGAAACAAGATGATCAATTCCTGTTTATTCTAAAATTCTTGCTATATCTGCAGCTGCAATTGATTCAGTTTTAGCTAATTTATGATCTTATCTTGAATATCCATAATAAGGAATGATCACTGTAATTGTTTTTACAGATGCTCTTCTTAAAGCACTTATAAATAAAAATAATTCAACTAGATTTTCATTTACAGGGGGACAAGTAGATTAAATGATGAATACATTTCTTCCTCTTACATTCTCTAAAACCTATAAATTAATAAAATCATAACTTAAATGTTGCATTCCCCATCAGCAAATCTTTCTAGTATAACTTTTCCAAGTGATATACCTAAACATTAAGCCACTTCATTTGCCAATTTAGTATTAGAATTACCACTAAATACTATTGTTTATGGTCTTTTGAATATTACTATTATTCATACTCAATCTTGTATTATTTCTAATTACTATAGACCTTAGTATATGATTCTTCTCGATTATAAGTAGATAATTTAAGCAAAGAAGACTTACATAAGAAGGGAACAACAAGATATTTCAAATTTCTCATTTTAATTTCTGAAAGATATGAATAAATATACAACTTACAATTTATCAATATAATCTAAACTAAAATACTATAAATAATAATTATAGAACTAAAACAAAAATCAACTTATTTTATAATTTATCTCAATAATATTATTACATTAAATGTTGAGAATAATCTTTAATCATAATAAATATTAGCCAACTGATTTTATTTTATCGTTAGCTAATAATATAGTATCCATTCTTTTAGAATCTATCTTATGGGTACTTATCCTTAATTTCTTATCTAATTACTTATTCTTTTTTCTTTTTTGAGTTTCCTTAACTAATAAACTTCTTTATTAATCTATATTATATTATTCATTTTTATGATTATATTTATCTTTTTCTGTGGGATAGTCAAGATCACATTAATTAACCTATCAATTATATTTCATAATTACTTCTTTATCATATTAAGAATTGAAACATTAAAACAATTTTAAAATTTCACTTTCTTACTTAAATTCTTCAATTCTATTTAATTAATTTTCTATTTCAACAGGATCAAATTTACTAAATAATTTTAAGTTCTTTTTAATTGGAGAATTAATTTCTTATGAAAAAACCTTCTCTTAATTAGGAAAAGATGTTTAAACTTAATTTTCAAATCTCATAAATGAAACTTTATTTACATCATCTTTACCCAATAATTTTAATTTTTATTCTGAAAGATGTCCTAATTATTCATAACAAGTCTCTAAATATCGATTAAAAACTATATCTTGTTTTGTTGCATTTTTAATTTATTCCTATCTTTACTTGTCTATATAAATATTATTAAATGTTATACATAACATAATCTAATATTGTACATCTTGATCAGCAATTTATTCTATTTATTTAATCAATTCTTCAATAATTGCACGCTTTTAAGACAAAGGCATATTATCAGGAATTTAATATTATTCCATTAATTCTCTTTCATATTTCATTTTTTCTATCTATTTTTAATATTCCATTTATCTTTACTTTTCTTTTTCTTATTATTCAATTTTAATTGGCTAATTTAAATTAATTTAACATACATCTTGAGGAGATTCCTAATTGGAAGATTTATTTGTACTAAAAGTCAAAGTAGCTGCTACAACATGTAATTTGAGTTATTTACTATTTTTTATTGTCTTTGATTTATTTGATTTCTCCCCTTAAGAAGATTCTATTGTTAATTTACTTTCTGGCTTACTTTCATCTAATCTTTATTATTATTATTATTCTCTTACTTAATGCTTTTGATTAGTTGTTAATTTATTATTATTTTTTAAACTATTTTAAGTATTAAATTGAATCTACATTCTCTATTAAGTTTAATTATTTGAATATTGATTTGATTATAAGTGAATTTAAGTATGAGATGGTTGATTTAGAATTGATGATTAAATTTATTAATTTTACTAGGTATGAATTCCATTATCTTTTTATTATATTTGGTTTTCTAATTTTAGATTATTGAATGATGGTGTTATACGTTATTAATTTTGTATTATATAAATTGGAGAACATTCTATAGATTCTTCAATAATGACATTATTTTATGCAGGTTCACATTAATTTACTTATATATTTATTTATTAATTTAAGTTAGAATAATGTTGCTCATCATCATGCATAATAGATGTCATACTGATTTATTAAATCAATTATAGCTATTGCTATTTTTGTTATTAATCAATGTTATCATAAGTTTAAAATTATGGATACTCTTATTATTTATAGATATCAATATGTGAAGTAGCAGGTCTATTAGAATTTAAATGAGCATGTAAATTATTTTATTTGTGTAAGGATTGATCTAATAGTGAAAATTAAGAGTCTTCCTTTGAAATTGAATTCTATTTTTATTCATAAAAATCATCTATTTTATATTAATTTTATTGTTATGTTGGTGAGAGAAATTAATTGTATTTTTTAATCTCATGCACTTCTAGAATATTGTGTTATTCACTTTTTTGATCTATTTAATTTAAATATTCTTGTTTTTATGATTATTAATTTTTAATTAATTCATCATTTTTTAAATATATTTATTCTTTATTTTTATCTAAACATTTTGCACTCTATATCGTTTGCATTTTTAATTAAAGATCTGTATCTAAAGATGGTAATTCTGTGTGAGTTCCATATGTAATCTACTTCTATCCTTCACTTTACATCATAGGTTTACTTTAACAACTGAAATCATCATCATCATTACTATAACATGTTTAAAATTTTTATTTTAAATCAATTTTATTTTAAACATTACTTATTGATAGATATTATGATTATTATTAAGAATTTTAGAAATTAACTTAATCTACTATTATATAATTATCTTTATTATCTATCTAAAATTAATCATTAATTATTTCATCATTGTTTCTGTTTAATTATGGTTTCAAATGTTATTAATTATATTTAATAACATAATTATCATTATTTTAATTTACTTTAATTAATTAATCATTGAAACTTGTTTTATAATTTCTTTCTTATTATTTTGTGTTATTCACTTATTTTTCTATTTCACCATATTAACTTACTATATTAATAATAGGTTTCTATTTTCTATTTTTTAAATTACTTTCTGTAGATGTTAACTACTTTTAAATAGATATTTCTTTTAATTCATCATCAGCTTATGTTTTAATACGGTTAGTTAATTAAAATGAATTAATAATAACTCTTGAAGTTGTTGAATCGTTTTAATGATAACTTCCATTAGTAAGTAATCTTTTTCCTTCTTGATTACTTTTTAAATCTAATATAGATCTTCTATCTTTCACAGTTTGTGATTAAGTTTCTATTTAAGTAATTTACAATTCTTTATATTTTCTATTCTTTTTATTAGATAAACATATATAGTTTTTTCTTGAATCTATTGATTAGGAAAACATTCTTTTAATTTCATAGTTTACTTTCTATTCTTTAATTGGTGGTTATTTCTTAATTAAATTTCGCTTTATTTTACTCAAGATCTACAAATGTAATGGCTATATAAACTATTTTTCCTTTTGTTTCCTCTATAATAGTTCACAAAATTATGCTTGATCAACATATGATATTGAAGATAAGTAACCAGCCAAAACCCTTTCAATTATGGTCAATATATAAAGCTCTTCTCTTTCAACATTCCTTTTATTATTTAACTAAAATTCATAAGTTTACATTTTTATATTAAGTTTAATTAAAATTTATTTCAAGACAATTCATGATACTATGTAATTAGCTAAAATTGGGCTTTTTTAATAGAATTGATTAGAAAATTTCCTACTTTTTTAGTAATGTCAGACTTACTATTAGTAAAATAATATCATACATTTTTGTCTTTGATCACAATTTCCTTATTCAATTTTGTATTATAATTAAGAACGATTAAAGATAATAAAATAGGTAAATTGTTATAAGTGATTCACATTTAAAATTAATACCTGTGTAAATATATTTACAAATATCAATAATAAAATATTCTTAAAATTTCTTTTAAAAATGGGTAACTTCATATTTAACTAAAAAGATTAATTTCTATCAAATACCTATAAAACCCTTATTTAAATAAGTATAAGATTAAAAAAAAGTTATATAAGAAAAATAAATAATTGTTTATATATCTATATTTTCCATTTGTATTAATACTATAACTATTTAATATCTTTTATTAAATTTATTACTTTTTAATATCTTTCTTATTTATATAATTTATTTTAACCATATATGATAAATAATATCTTAATGTTATTATCATTTTTTAGATTTCTTATATATATAATAAATTAATCAATATAAATAATATAATAAATTA